TGATCATTTACTCCCTCAGGAAGTTTTTCTTGAACAACCCTCTTAACCCCCACAATTTCAGAAGGTTGTAAAGGAGCATTGAAACATTTGACCTGATTACAAAATTAACAAAAAAAAATAATAATAATAGTAAGGGCTCCATATGAGTCAAATCCGTCATTTTAATATTAAAATGTCAGACACTGTAACTAATATATAAATAAATACTTCATGAGTTGCTGCCAAAAAATTTGTAGACTATGGAAAGGAAGACCTGAAAATCATTCAGCTCAGCATCACTCAAAGCACCATCTTTATTGTGATCACATAGAATAAATATCCGTTTCAGTGCCCTGATGCATCTAGGCTTTAGAGTTTGAGTTTCTTGATCAAAAAGTGGGCCTGTTGGGTGAAGTACAGCTTTTTGGGCGTAGTAAAAGACCTCAGAAATCTGCAAATGGAATAATACAATGTTGAAAACACGTGATTCTGTTGCGTTAATACTGATCTACACAAATGTGGGAAGTGAAAATTCACATCTAAGAGGTATAGATGGTAATGTTTTCATATAAACATGAAAACACTACTCAGCAGTGAATCAACATGGACCGATAAATCAAGTTGGACACAGTTGCAAACTTTAGCCAAATGGGAAATAGAAAACAAATTATAACACATATTAGCCAACATGATATACCTGATTAATGGAGCAACAAATATACCTGAATATGTTTAAATGCCGAACACTCAATGCATGTTTCAATTTCTCGAAATTGCTGCATTATTGGAGACATAACCTGCTCCAAGCTCACCTGCTGATTCTCATCTCTCAAATCCAGCTTACAGCCCACTGCTATAACTGGAACCCTCACCTACTTGTTTAAACCATTATATTCAACATCAATAAAATGATCAAAATGACTTATGAAATACTGAGCCGATTTCAGCAAAGGAAATGCTAAGGTTTTCAAATTAATGAGTCTGACTAGATAAACTTGTTAGGTTCCAAGCTCGGGGATGTTATTATTCACTTTCTATCCATCAATTCCCAAGTAGGGTGTAGAGTTAACTAACCTCCAATTGACGAAGTTTAGGAAGCCAAAAAGTACTCAGCCGATCGAGGGTTTGAGGCTGATCACAAGCATAAGTTAGCACAACTACATCAGCTCGCTTAAGCTCTTCAGCAACTTTTGCACTATCTTCAGTGCTGGGAGAAACAAAAAAACAAACAAAAACAGAACCTTAGAGACCTTCTAGATTCATCATTGAAAACCTTACGGACACAGGCAATAACCAATACGTATGACAATATAGCAGGAATTCATGTGATTTATTAGACCTATAAAGCTACAGAAATCAGACAACGGTGCTCCAACTTACAGCAAAACAAATGAGAAAGAACAAAGATCGGGAGCCTAGGTCTTAAGTGAAATCATACCCATTCCCAGTTCTCCCCTTCCATCACCACTGAACTCCTCATAAATCTTCCAGTTTCTTAACAATCAAATTTCCCACAGAACGGCAGAAGCAGCAAAGAAGAAAGTAAAACAATGTCAATATTATGGTCTCTCTTTTCTATTAAATTTTCGCCTATAAAAGGGGAATGGAAAAAGAAAAAAAAAAAAGAAAAAAATGGAAAAAATGGTATGCAGATATCTTGCCATAGGTAGCAGAATTCTCCTGTTATTAAAGTTGGAAACTACTTATATCGAGCCCATAATGCTAAAGGCAGAAATTATAGCTTCATTAGCACATCCTTTTAGCATCAACGTCGAGATAGAACAAAAAAGAACAAACATAGCAACTACTACCGTGATGAAGTATCGATGATTGTGGTGGGAACACGATCTGGATAAATGTCTTCAGGCAGCCTCGTCGGTGGCAATACTGGGGGGACATTCACTGGAAAATTGTCTGCCGCTGCAGTTACGATCAAGCTCGACTTTCCAGTACCACGGTCCCCGGCAATAACTATACGAACCCCGGTCCTTTTACCTGGGTGTACATTACCAGCTGGCGCCCTTGCCATTGGAGGTTTATAAACTGCATGAGCGAAATCCCAAAACAACTTTCAGTGACAGAGAATTTCATCGAAACAGACAAGAAAAAACATAAACACCATAAAAACAAAAAAAAAAAAAATCCAGTTCGCTTTATCGAAATCCAGATTCTTCAACACCTCAGAAAAGACCAAAAAAAAACACACATCCTATGAAATTGCGTGTAGACTGAGAAAAACACAAAATACAATCGAAGCCAAAGCCTTCGGGAGAGTAAGAACAAGTAGTAATCAGTGAAAGTATACGATAACGAACGACGAATGAAAGGCGATATTGATATCGTTGTATTGAAGGTAATCGACCTGGAATCCAAAGGGTGAAGAAACTGACCTTTGAGATTATTCTATTTAAAGATTAAAAAAAAAAAGTTGTAAAGCGCCACCGGACGCGGAGGCGTCAGCAGCACATACGACGGCGATGGGCGGAGCTGGTGGCGGATGTGGCAGCGGCGCGGCGGCTATGGGGAAGAAGATAGAGAGAGAAAAGTATTTGATTACGCAGAGAGGCAAAGCAGCTTCCTCTTCATTGTTCTCTTTGGTTTAATTTTCAAAATATGAAAAAAAAAAAAAAAAAAAAAAAAAAAAAAAAAAAAAAAAAAAAAAAAAA